CCTTCGTCGCACCGTCAGTTCTGACTTCAACGTATCAGTCGAAAGGCAAAATCATACAGAACTTCTCGCACCTTCTGTTTCAACAGCGGTCTCCCGCGAGACGAATTTCCTTTATTCATCGAGGGTTCCCACCACTTCACTACATGCGGTTTATTCGACTTGTATGGCGAAATATTATGCATGGTTCCGGTAACTGACGCCAGCCTTGGTGCCAGTCGTTGCGCATGTGGATGTTGGCCTCTGCCAGATGAAACTGTGTTTCCTGCGTCCTCCCGCACAGAGCTGTGACCCTGCCTTCATCGTTGTTCAGTTGGCTACGTCTGACGAGACCCCATTTAGTGGCTAGACAATATGGTCTGTAGCAGTGATGAATGTATCCATAAATAAAGGGGGTTTCACCGGAAGCCCTGCTCAGCGCAGTTTAGGTTGCCACTTTCCTGCATCTTCGAGAGATGGCGCGGCATTTCCGAGTGCCGAACAGTTCGATCGTCCCTGTCCGATAGGTCACGGGGACTTCGGCTTTGGATTTGGTTGGCCTCGTTTCTTTCATCTACTAGGCTGAACAGACAGGTGAGTGATTAACCTATCAGAAACCTCAGGCCTTCAGTTGCTACCTCAGTTTCAATGACAACTGTTCAGGAGCCCACTTTTCCCAGTGCATCCCGCTACGAAACCACTCTCATCTGGCCGCAACAGATTCTACATGCAGCTTTCTTTCATTTGTGCTTGCCAGATTGGCGATGTTGCAGGATTTGTTCTCTACTAGCTGTTGGCCTTTGCGTAATGATTCACTATGCTTTAGGCATTGCGCAACACATCGGCCGTAATGTCCACAATTAATGCAAGTACCTGCTGATCAAACGGGAAATTGCACTTGCCGCCATCTCCAAAAGAACGCGGCCTCTCTCTGACAGTCGCCTTTCTGTTCTGATGCATCAACTTCATCCGCTTCACTTCTTGACGTAGTCGCTGCCACTCAGCGCATAGGACAGAACTCTGCAGTCTCTGCTCCCGTTGCTCAGCAGCATCTCCACATAACTCATTAGTTAACCGGGTATTTTCAGGGGGCGCACTGTTGATCCGAAGTAAAGCATGGATGGCTGGTGTTGCTCCCCTTGGTCGTAGAACTGCTACCTGAGAAGCGATGCAACTTGCTGATTGTTCACGTTGACAAACGCGTGGCACCTCCCAGCTTTGGGGAGCTGGTAAGCTGCTGACTTTTTGCTGCACAGGTCTTGAACAGTTCTTCCAGATGCTGCTGCTTCGGGCTGAATAGCTAGTTCCTCGTTTGTCACACCCCCCTCCCCGCAAAGGAACACAATGTTCATTCGATCGATAGCGCTTGGATGGATATCGGTGGTGCCACATGCGCAACAACGCTGAGTGACGGCTCGCCCTTATACCTCAGTTCAACTACGTCTGTTCCACTTGTGACCGCCGCCCCTGTGTGATTTAAAACATTGGCCATCCATTCCATCAATAAGGGACTTCGCTCGTCGCCATGGATTGTCTGCAGAATTGGTTCTGGAAGAAATTATTATGGGACTGGCTCGTCCTCTTGCCATCGCCTACTGCTTGAGGTCTGCGCTGCTCTGGCCCGACAGAGAATTGGCCGTGATTCAGGCTCGTTCCGAGACGCATCTTCGAACACGGTGTCCTCAAGCGCGCTGGTCCGATTTGCTATGCCTCGTGTAGTAGTCAGCCGAACGGGTCTGCTGCGGATAGGGGCCATCCGTCGCCGCTGGAAGAGTGGTCTGCACATAAGGATGCGACATCGCTGCCCGATCTTCCAATTCATTGTCAATCACCAGTTACAAACCGTGAAGGCCGTCGTGTGACCAAAGCTACAAGATCAAAAAAGGTCCGTTTCAACGATCGGTTCTAATTGATTCATTTTCTTAAAACGTTGGAGCCAATCCGCGTTCACCACCAGTACGTTCCCCACTTGCCGCTCACAGGGTCGAGGAGTGTCATCAATCATACCCATGGTTTATAAGCTGGTATTTGTTCACGCCTGGACCATGCGCTTCATCATGCGGCGATGACCTGTTGGAACCTGCCGTAACCATCCTACGCAATAATGCTAAAGATAATGCCGACGTCCTGTCATGGCTGGTTGCGATAATCGATCGTCCGTTATCCTTAGAGTTACGACGGGAAGTTTTACGAATCGAGTTACGTCATCCGTCACTCACCCCATGCCAGAATTTAACGCGGTAACGGTTGCACCATGACCGCACGGGGCGACAGCACTTTAGCAAGGCCTGCACTGGCTGCTACAATTATGGTTGAGCAGAAATCCACATTCCATCTCTCATGTTCATCATATGTTAACAGCTTAGAGGCAGATTTTCGCTTCCAAAAGTGCAGCTTATTCTGCAATGTATTCAAGGACGTGTAATGAACGGGTAGAAGTTCCTATGTTAGGGTGGACTTGGCGTCTCAACGCGCATCAGGGAGTTCAGCTGCATGTGTACTTTGTCAGTGTGAGTATTATCTGATTAGGCTGGAGCGGATGTTTTGCCATAAAAAGGCACACTTCCATAATGGTGCGTTATTTGTAGCGCTGTTCTTTCAAGAAACACGTAGCATAATGCTGAAGCTATATCGATTCCATCAAC